TATTTTAATGCTTTATGGGCAGTGAAAAGAAATTATACACTTAAAGACCTTGAAGACTCAGATTCATATTTGAGTTGTTATTAATATAATTATGATATATGCTGATAAAACAGATTATGACATAATATTAAAAAATAATATTTATACCTAAAAATTATCAAATGTAGTACCTTAGAAAATTACATGAATTAATAGCCAAATTATTGTTACTACAAAATAACATATCTTTACTTATAATATCTAAAATTATAGACAGAAACTGTTTACATCATTGAAAACTGCAGAATAGAGTAAAAACCTCTGCAATACCTTAAATTCTTGAACATGTAATTGTAGAAGTAGTCTTTGACAATATATGACATTGTAAGTCTTGTTCAAATCTTAAACCAAATTTTACTCATTGTTCAAAAACTAAAGAGTGTCATAAAAGGAGGGAAGTGGTTTGTGTTGCATTAATTTTTGTAGAATCGTTTGTTATTGTATCTCAAAACACAAATCTCAGATTCTCGTACACAAGAACCCCCCCCCCCCCCCCCCCGCGCTTACTATCAGCTTCTTTAAATAATGCGTCAATCATATCCATGTTTCGAACGTCAAACCATGAGCATCCACAAACTTAATAATTAATTAAAATAAATATTTGATGATTTTTAAAAAGATGTATCATTATGAATGAAAAGAAATTAAAAATGTGTATTCAGAATTTCCTCGACGTTCGCTGTTAGTCAATATTGACGCTATGCAAGCGCGTCGTATAAAAAAGGGGAAAATAATATACAAAAGATATAGGCCTAAAACATAAAAAAAACAGCTGCAAATGATAGTAAGTAACAGATTTATACTTACGAAAAAGGATCCAAAGCACTTCGAGGCGCGGCGTCTGCCATCGTCTTCTTTTCTGGTTCTCCAGGTCGACCGGAAACCAGGCAACTTATTGCCAGACAAACATGAGTCATTTGTAGACCATGAATTTTCGAAATTTTAAATACTGAACTCACGAATGAATGAAGGGTAAGAAAATATAGGAAATGATTAAACTAAATGGGATATTAATTAAAACTATTCATATATAGCGGATTTTGATTAATATTACACATTTTCTCTGGGCGACTTAATAGATATATATATTCCTATGAAAATATATGCCGGGTTATAAATAATTTAATTATTTCTCGCTATGCGAATAAAAAATGCAGAAATTATAATTGCATTGAAAAAAAATAATTACGAAAGAGTCTTATTTCAGGACATCAGTCATCTTACCACAAAGTACACTGCCTTAATGATCAGTTAAAATATTAGGGAGACCGGAAAAAGTCTGCTTAATCCATCGGGGTCCCAGACCGATATATAAATGCTTAACTGGGTTCCCTAACCAAGAAGTCCGGATTATATATATATATATATATATATATATATATATATATATATATATATATATATATATATATATATATATATATATATATATATAGATAGATAGATAGATAGATAGATAGATTTATTTAATATTTACTCCTAAAATTGGCAGATTTAAATATGTTAAATAATTTTCATAACATTGTACAATATCTCAATATCCCCTCCACTGAAGATTATCAGGAAAATACATGTATATATAGTGCATTATTTCGTTTTATGAATTCCTTCACTATAAATGATAAATAATCATATTCTTACTATAATTCTGACCTAATCCATCATTTATAAAACTATCTCAGAATTGCACTGTGGCTTTAGAAAGTATGTAATTTTTACCAAAGAAATTAGTAAATTAGTTGCTGTGTGCCTTTGATCAATATATTGAAAAAAAGAACGAGAAATTTTGCAAAGTAAATGTGTATTTATAAAAACTTGGTTTAATTCAAGAGATTAAGCAAATTTTCATTACATGTACTTGCATGTAGAAGAGAGAAAACGTGTTTGAAACCGCCTGGTCGCCCACCCATAGTGCAATTCACATATCAATATACGTTCTTGATTTCAGACGCAGGTACTTGTGGACAAGACCCTGTCCTTACGACCCCCCCCCCCCCATTTCATGACTTCTTTAGCATTTAATTATTTAATTAAACAAGATGTGTTTGTGAAACACTGATGCCCCCGTATGGCAGCTTATGGCGAAGGTTAATGTTTCTTAAATGCAAGTCAAACTCCAGGTCAAAAAATCAAAAATGTTGATACCCAAAGAAAGGTCTTGTCTCTAGGAATATACCTGTGAAATATGAAAGCCCTTGTATAAATCATTGAAAAGTTATGGCGAAGGTTAAAGTTTTTTAAGTAAGTAAAATGGCAAGGTCAAGATCAAATGGTGCCCAAGGGAAGTTCTTGTCACAAGTGATACACATGATCGTGAAATGTGAAAGCCCTAGGACCATACGTTCAAATATTATGGCTAATGTTAAAAATTTTTAAAAGTAGGTCAAACTCCAAGGTCAAGGTCAATGCCAAAATTGTTGGTATCCAAAGGAAGGTCTTGTCACAAGGAATATACTTGTGAAGTATGAAAGCCCTAAACCAACTGTTCAAAAGTTATGGCCAAGGTTATAGTTTTTAAAAAGCAGGTCAAACTTCAAGGTCAAGGTCAAAGGGTCAGAGATGTTGGTATTTAAAGGAAGGTCTTGTCACAAGGAATGCATATGTGAAGTATGAAAACCCTAACACCAACTGTTGAAAAGTTATGGCCAAGGTTAAAATTTTGCAAAAGTGGATTAAACTCCAAGGTCAAGGTCAAAAGGTCAAAGCTGTTGGTATTTAAAGGAAGGTCTTCTCACAAGGAAAGCATATGTGAAGAATAAAAACCCTAGCACTAACTATTCAAAAGTTATTGCCAAGGTCAATTTTTTTTCAAAATTGAAGTAGGTCAAACTCCAAGGTCAAGGTCAAAAGGTCAAAGCTGTTAGTATGCAAAGAAAGGTCATGTCACAAGAAGTACAAATGCGAAGTATTAAAGACCTAGCTCAAACTGTTCAAAAGTTAAAGCCAATGTTAAAGTTTTTTCAACTGTAGGTTAAACTCCAAAGTCAAGGTCAAAGGGTCAAAGACGTTGGTATCCAAAGGAAGGCCTTTACACAAGAAATACACTTGTGAAAATTGAAAGCCCTTGCTCCACGTGTTCAAAAGTTATGGCCAATGTTAAAGTCTCATAAAATTTTGCAAAAGTGGGTCAAACTCCAAGGTCAAAAGGTCAAATATAATGGTACCCAAAGAAAGGTCTTGTCACAAGGAGTACACATGTGAAATATGAAAGCCATAGCTCCAACCAATCAAAAATTATCGGTAAGGTTAAAGTTTTGCAGACAAACATACAGACAGACGGACAGGGCAAAAACTACATGCCCCCGAATCTTCCATTACGGGGGCATAAAAATTAAATATGAAACTTCTTCGTCTACGTGCTTCTATTTAAAAATGACTCATCAGTAGTATCTAGACGTATTAATACTTGTTATACCCCCTAATATATATAAGTTTTAAACAGAAACGAAGTTAAAGATTAAAAAATGTAAGGGGGGAGGGGGTCTTGAGCACAGGATCCTGTTCACAAGTACCTGTGTTCTACCTGTGTCAGCAATTTTATCTCACCGGAACTATAAGTTCAAGCGATTTAAGTCGATCGTCAGCAATTTTAGCTCACCTGAACTAAAAAATCCAGCGATTTTAGTCGTTACAATTTTAGTTCATCTGAACTAAAAGTTCCAGCGATTTAAGTCGATCGTCAGCAATTTTAGCTCATCTGAACTAAAAGTTCCAGCGACTTAAGTCGGTCGTCAGCAATTTCAGCTCATCTGAACTAAAAGTTCCAGCGATTTAAGTCGTCAGCAATTTTAGCTCACCTGAACTAAAAGCTCCAGCGATTTAAGTCGTTAGCAATTTTAGCTCACTTGAACCAAAAGTTCCAGTGACAACTGTTGACTGTCGTCTGTATGTCTAACTTTTGACAATTTTGACTTCTTGAATCTTCTCCAGAACTCTCCAAATCGATTCTTGTGTTTCGATGTATCAAATCGATACCCTATACATGTACATTGATGTATCAATGTATTGTTACACCCCTAATCATGGCCCTCGAGGACAGGGTGAGTCCATAATAGGAGACATGGAAATATATAAGAAAAATCATTAAAATTTTCTTTTCAAGAACAGCAAGACACGATTAGTCATTTTACATTGGAATTTAAATGTATTTATATTGATGTACAAACAGCCTCAGGGAGTATAAAACAAGTTTCTTGGCCTCTGGGGGTTTTGTGGGGCAAAAAATATTATTTGCAAATTGTATGTACATACTAAACTTTTTCAAATCAAATTAAAGTACCTTGGCTTAGTATGGGGCTAAAATTGGGGGGGGGGGGTCAAATTTTCCATTATGCATGTTTACAGAAAAAAATAAAAGAAATATTCTTTTCCAAAGCAGTAAGGCCATTTTAGTTATGTCGATATAGAAGCATTATCCCGATGCATCCTATGTTGTGTGGTTTCAATTTCGGTTAAGTCATAATCCCATGAAGATAATGTACATGAATGTACAGTATTCGGTCAAAATCTTTCAAAGGACAAAAGAAAGGATTCTTTAAAAAAAAAAAAAAAAAAAAAAAAACTGATGAAAAACAGCATATCCAAGTTGATGATGGAGGCCCATGGGCCTCTTGTTAATTCTTCTTACTTTTGAATAAAGTTTCTGTTTACAAGCGCAATACCCCTGCTTATTTTATCGGAATGATCTCCCCTGGATAACCATATAAAGGTGTTCTGATGAAATAAAGGTATGAAGTAAGCATACGACGCAATTCCATGTCCAAAATGACATTTAATACAATTAGATGCCCATCTACAACATATGAATATTATTTTTTCTCTTCTCTACATGTTTTGTTGTAATAAGTGCGTAATTATGTTACCAATTGTGCTCTATATACTTGAACTAGGCTCAGATCAACCATTACTTAAGAGTACATGTAAAAACCGTGTAAAAGAGCACTAGACAAGTCTACTAACTATACTTGCTCCCGAGCAAACCGGTTGAAAGTGGTTTCAAGGAATTATATGCTACCTCTATATAACATATCCCAGGATTATTTCGAATCATTTGACCTATCTACGTTGTTGCTGCAAGTACTATTGTACTATGAAGGTAAGAACATTATATACACAAGAACATTTTATGTACCATACAATGTTCTTTTGTGTAGCGTGTAGCAAAATTAACTGAAGGAAATATATATATATAAATAAAGATTAATTTATTAAAGATTTAATAAAAAACAAATGTGAATAAAGTAGACCATTCTTGCTTTAGGTTTATACACGCGCTTTCCGTCGATTTTTCAGTCCCTTTTAACTTAATTTACTTACAATGACGAATGCATTAAATTATTGGATTGTTAATTAACTATGAAGTCGAACTTTAAAGATAATTTGTATTGTTCCTTCAAAAATATCAAAGAACATATTCATAAAATGTTTTTAATTGCAACTTGGTTTGAATACATTGTGACTTTGCCTCAAAATTCGATGCCTTTTTTTTTTTTTTTTTTTTTTTTTTTTTTTTTTTTGAAGAGAGAATTCTAAATTAATATACCGCTTCATATACTTGGCATTAAACTGCATGCTTAATTTCTTTTTCAAAATAAAAAAAAAATCGTCTCATGATTCTTAACAATTCTCTTAATAAGGCACTGTGTAGGAAGAAAGTGGGTCAAAACAATAGCACGTGCGTCGTTTGTTACAGATTCCAAAAATACTTGAGCACGCGCATCATTCTAGATCTGATCAGATAGCGTAAAAAAGAACATTATCAGAATTTAAGCAAATGCGCTTTAGTTTTTGCTTTATGCAAAAAATTCTTAAAATTCCAAAGGATGTTGCTCCAAATCGCAGATTATTGTTTATGTTGTAAAGAAATCGCAACCTTGACAATGTTCCAGCATCTGCATGAATTGTTGGTAAACATACATGGCGGAATGCCCTCTGTACTAATAATATCAGTCATTGAATTTCCTCGAAACGTTCATTACATTATTTAACGTTTTTTTCCCAAAAAGATGCCTTTAAATTCAGCTTTCTATTAAAGCTGGACGAGCTTTCTATTAAAGTGGCTGCACAGCACTCAAATTATATGTAGTGCTGTATAAAAAAGTAGAAACGATGTCGGGTTCGTATATAATTATGATGTACTTCTGTACATATAATTGTATTCTTTATCAGTGATAAATATAGCTGAATGTAAAGGGAGTTCGGATGAAAATCTTCGAGACTTGAGCGAGATCTTCCTGTATTTTTAATGTGTTTTCGGTCGAAGTTGCGAAGGAAGCCGATATATCATAATGGAAATTAAAGAGAATTTATCACGTCGTGTTACTTTCTTCTTGTGTAAAGAGCATTTCTAGAATGCATCGTATCTCTCTCTCCCCCTCTCTTGGAATAGTATATAATCATTCATGTTAGATTAAAGTTCATAATTTAGGCTTTTTGCATGTATGAAATAATCCCAATATTCACACCTGTAACCTTAAAAGTAACCGCTTAAAAGTTTGACCGATCGTCCATTATAAACCTTTGCCAATTTTTTAACTGAGAAGTCTTGTGAACGAACAAACATGTAGACGAAACAGAAGAAAAATTATATGTTGATATGTCCTCCGTCCACCTTTCAGGTAATCATAATTGCTTGATTTATTTCCTCTCCTAAAAGTGTTCATTATTTCTGTATATTTGTAAGATTTTATTCAAAATTAGATGAATTACGTACTTAATATTGTATTTTTCCCCAGGAATGAAGTATATAAGCAGTCAAACTGAGACGTCGGTGCATAGAGTTACAATCAGTCTAGCAGTGGGCCCCTTTTTGCAATAAATTGTATTTATTTAGTTGAAACCTGTATCACAATATATTGCTGTTACCTTAAGGAAAAGTCACAATCACCAGTGGAAGTCCGTTCTTCTCAAATGGCGTGGATATTTCAATGAAGAAATTATTACCATACACCTCATTTACAAAGGACAAAAACATAAATAAATAGTACATGTATACAAGAAGAAGAGTTTTAGTAAAATTAATCTATAAAATAGAAACTTACAAAATTAAAAAAAAAAATGGTCGTTGAACCACAACGCTCACCTGAGTCACATTTTACCTCCTGAGGTTTGAATGTAGATACGAGGGTCGTTCAATAAATAATGCAACAGGTCATCTAAAAGTAAGAAAAGTACGTAATACATATGCTAAACATTTTCAATCCCTCAAAGCATTCCCTGTTGTCCTTTACATATGTCTTAAGTCTTTGTACCCATGGCCAGAAAACCTCAGCATACCCATCTTTAGGGATGCCCCAAAGACACTGATGAATATCACTTCCCATGACATATCTAATATTGTACAATCTTCCTTTGATTGTTTTCATGCATTTTTGGAATAAAAAGATCTCACAATGGCTGAGATCTAGCGAATATGGGGAATGGCAAAAATCTGTTAACTTTCTTTTCTTCAGAATTTCATTTTTTCATGTATATTTCTGTGCTTATTTGCAGCAGCATTGCTAAGTGCAAGAAAATTACCCTTGGGGCGATGTTTGGACTTCCTTTGCAGGAAATCTGTTATATGCAGATATGTTATATGTCAATTTAACAATATCTGGTATATTTACTATAGAAACAAAGCTACTTTCAGGATTTACCCCTCTATATTTACGTCTGATGATCCCTTTTTGGCTTGTCAAGAATTTTTTGGCAATCTCCCTTCAACTGAAAATGCCCCCCCCCCAACAACAACTGAAATTGCTCCCTATACGACCGGGCGGGCGTGTAATTGCTATCTGGTTGCCCTTGGGAAGTTTTTAAGGTGCATATTTTTTGCCCTATATAATTGTTTTTATGAATATTTGTAAAGTTTGACCCCCCCCCCCCCCAATAAAACGTTCCTCTGTCAAAATCTGGAAAAACGATAATCTTTACATAGCTTCATAGGGAGGTTGTGTATTAATTTGACTAACTCAGTATGGTTCATCTGTTCTTGAGAAGAATATGGTGTATGCCTTAAGATATTTTCAACTTATACCTTTAATAAATTTTGACTTCCTATTATACATGTGGCCCCATCCTAGCTCCTGCATTGGTCATGATTTAAAAAAAAAGGAAGAAATGATTAAATGAATAGGTAATACTGTATCAGGGCACGTACATGTATATAAAACTTATTTTAACAGACTCTGTGTTTCTTGAGGGGGTGGGGTATTTAAACGACCTTATTCTATTTTCACAAGGCCCATCTTTTAAACAAAATTGTACGAAATTTTGATTAGATTGGCTTAGTGTTTCTGGAGACGAAATTGCATTTGGCACAGGTGAGCTAAAAAATTAAATTTACCTTTTGATTGTTGAACAGAAGGGTTTAATTCAGTGTAGGGACAAGACGTGTTATATCACATCTAAAGGTCAATAAAAAAGAGACCAAGACAATTTTTAGATTGTCCGCATTAATGAAACTCGGTTACATTTGATTCTGGTTACTGGATGAACTAAGAGGAGGTAATACATTTTATTTATGTAACTTTCCACGATTTAGTTTACAAGATTTACTGTAAATCACTTTTATTTGACATTTTAAACGTGATAAAGATTTCATTCTTTAATTACAAGTACCTGAAAATTAAGCAGGTTTACAGATCTATTTTTTTTTTACAGTTCCTAGAGTTACCTTTCTTGGATATAATATTCAACAACACTATACATAATACACGTACATGTACATGTATGGAGAGAGAGAGAGAGAGAGAGAGAGAGAGAGAGAGAGAGAGAGAGATTAAATCGCACTGATAATTCAGGAACTGGGAAATACAATGTAATAAGAATACTAATATATTTTTTAAATGATTAAAGTATTTATGCTAACACACTTACATATATTTCAGCGTCATACAATACTGTGGGACAAATAACATTCCATTCCAGAACGTTGTTATGTATGAGTAAAGTGTACAATGAGGATTTTCCACCTTTCTGTACTTTTAATGTTGACAATATTAGAAAAAAAAAAAAATGGGGACAATGTTTTCAGACGCATTGATAGATCAAGGTAAAGGGACAGTTTATGATTTCGCATACCATATGAAGATAATGCTGGTTTGGTTGACGAACTTTGGAGAGTCGATAAAGAAGTCTTATTTTTCCTTTTTTTTTTTTTAAAGAAGTTCTTTAAGTTAAGTTTTTAAGTTCTGAAACTATAAATATCGCTTTGAAATTATGCATGTAGGTCTATGCAAAGTCATACAAGCGTAGTATAATAAGTATAACTGGTAACTGGTTAAAAAAAATGCAATGAAAATGGCTTTAAAAAACATAAATGTTTCTGACGTACAATCCAATTTTATTTTCAGTATCAGTTTATCTCCTTTCTGAAACATTTCATAAATTAAGATGGTTATTCCATATTATGCCTATTTTATAGTAACATATATAAATAAAGTACATGTACTTCCATATTATACCTATTTTATAGTTATATATATAAAAGTACATGATTTGTCTGATGAAAGGGTATTAAATTTGTTAATTTTGTAAAATGGTACGGTAGACATGTGCATGGAAAAATGATTAAATTTGATTGGAAAGGCCTCAAGTCCATGGAGATTCTCTAATTTTTTGACTGTCTTTTTATCGTGCCTCGAAGAAAACATGAGGTTGAAGCCTAAATCAAACTTAGTTTAGATCATTCTCCATTTTATAGCCGGACAAATGAAACTTAATTTACAAAATGCTTATATACATGTACTGTGCACTTTTTGCTGACGAATTTATTTTCTGAGGCCCCAGGATTATTTCTAACATATAAGCATGAACAAAAAATACGCATGTATATAAAAGTAGAAAAATAAAGAAAAATTAAGATATTTGAAGCACTTTAACTGCTGTGGTATTCCCAAAATTAAATATGAACTTTCGAAATTCTAGAATTTGAGAGTGTTCGACTTTACAACAAAAAAAAGTGGAAGGAGGAGGGGGGGGCGGGGGCAACCAGCATCTAAAAGAAAATTTACTATAGCAAAAATACTATACTCGAGCTCAGAAAAAAGGAGGGGTCCCCTACCCCGCGTTCTAGGGGCCTGGTATTTCATGTCGAAACGATCATTATATATT